GGTTCAGCGCTGGTGCGGGGAAGCTTCCTCGGCGAGCGAATCTCCTTCCATTAAGTTCGAATCGCTTGCGCGAGAATGCGGGTTTTTCCCCCCATAATATATTTTTGGGGGTTAGATCGCGTAAATATAAATGTGTCGTTAAACCCGCTACCACCCGACACAGCCAATTAGTAAGGTTTGTCACGTTAACAGAGCATGCCAATTTGTGACATGTTCTGGTGGCGGTTTTAACGACACATTTATATTTACGCGATCTAACCCCCCCAAAAACACCTGTATTATGGATGATACTGGTCGCGAAAGGCGACTGCTACGTGTCAAGATGCGCTTTTTGTTGGCGTATGGCAGGGGTGGGGAACCTTTTCTTTGCCAAGGGCCATTTGGATATTTATAACATCATTCGCGGGCCATACACAATTATCAACTTAAAAATTAGCCCGTTATATTTGGTCAAACATTTAATCAACTCACCCCTAATGCGATGGCTGGAACTGCTTCTCTTTGGTGAGGCGTGTGATGTTAGCTGGTATTGATGTTGCTACTCTAACTGCTTTTCCATGTTTGCTCCTAGATTTAATGAATTTCGAGTCCCGCCTGCGGTTGCCTTGGTGGGGCCACACCAAATGATTTCGTGGGTCGGGCGTTCCCCGCCCCTGGCGTATGCACATGGTTTGTAACTGAGTGTGTCAACGGTGCCCTGACGACAATGTGGCGAGCGAAAGTGGTGCAAGCGAGAGACAAACAACTGCGGCTACAGATGGCCTGCTGCTGCTGATGTGTTGGCAGTGGTGCACAAACAACAACAGCAACTCAACACATCCCGTGTCAACAACACCGTGCGGCTTTAAAAAAACTAAACAGTATGTACGAGGCGACGTTTCGGGTAATGGCCCTTCTGTAAAGCACATAGAGAGGAGTGCCACCTCTCTGACCGATGTGCTGTGAAGAAGGGGCAGTACCCTAAAACGTCGCCTATTATATATTTATAAGTTTAAGGTCAGCCACACCCGGTGTTATTGACGAACGTATTGAGTTTGTTTACAGATACAGCCCTTGGTTTGTTTTAGCTAAAATAAGGACGCAAACGTTATTGACAAGGACCAAGAATGGAGGACATCTTCACGATTCTGATCACTGCCTGATGATGCTGGTTATAACGAGCTGCGAAACGTCGGACTGCCAAATTGTTCAATGTCGCGTTGCTGACGCGGTCCGAAGTTGGCCACGTGTTTGTTCATCACGTGACAACTTTATGAATCGGTTGCTTCGGCTGGAGGAGGGGTTTACGACACACATCTTATTTACTTGATCTGACCCCCCACCCCTTCCACCCAACGAAAAAAATCTGAATTAATTTTAAAATCGACTTTTCAAACAACTTTTATTCGAAGTCAAACGGCACTTTATTGGAACAGGCGACTCGAATCGGAAATCCGGTGCGGGTTTAGCGCCAGCGCCACGAGAACGCGACGCTGGAGTCGGCCGAGCTCGATTAGCAGCCGCGGCCGTAGCGAAGAGGCATCCAGGATGTGGTGTGCCGGGTACAGAAATATTTCGTCTCGTGCTGAGTCGTGTGAATGAAGTCCTCGCCTCGACTGTGAACACACCTGGACCAAACGCAATTGCGTGGAATTTCAGAGCCACAGGTGTCGCATCATCAAGTTGCACGTAACATTGGTTGTTGTTAACAATAATAATGTACTTCTATATCCAGCAGAGCCATAGAGAGTCGTATGATTGTGTTTCAGGAGGGTCCCTGCCACATTGGGGGTTTGTTTAGATGTCTTTAACCGATTAGTGATGAGCGTGTTTATTATACCACGTGGGAAGAAACCGGAACACCCAAAGAAAACACACGCCACGCGTGAGGGGGCAACACGCGATCCCCGTGCAGATGGAATAAACAGATGGCGATTAGTCCACTTGCTATACCACCGTCTCCTGGCGAGCCATGGTATGGCCCATCTGTGTGTGGTCCACCAACCCTCGCTGCTGCCTCCACAGCGCTGGATTACAGGTAGCCACGTGCGAACAAGACGGCAAAGCCAGGCCAGCAAGGGAGCCTTTCATGTCGTTGGGGAAATTAATCAGAAATGTCTCACGCGGTGTACACACAAACGCACACACAAAAGCACTAAGACACCCCCGTATAGCCCTTAAGAGGCTGTTAGCCAGCCCCTATGAAGGCTCACAAGGCACATACAAGGCGGAGGGTGGCCAGCACCACGTCCGGCCGCCTTTGTCTCCCCAGCGCTGTTTACACAACGCACCAGGTCGACCTAGGGGAGGCCCAGGACCGGTCCAAATTATCCCCACTGTTAAATTTTGACTTAAAACTCTCGTGACTGCAGGAATTAATATTCTTTGGTTCTTTCGGTAAAGCCACGTAGATAAAAAATACACGTATGACTATTTTATATCTACGTGACTTTACCGAAAGAACCAAAGAATGTCCCCTCTGTTATTGACCGTGAGCGGAAATTGAACTCGGATCGCCGGGGTCGCAGTGCAACGCGCTATCCACTGCGCCACCACTCCCCGCACACAGTCACACACACAGTCACACACTCAGTCACACACACAGTCACACACACAGTCACACACTCAGTCACACTCAGTCACACACTCAGTCACACACAGTCACACACTCAGTCACACACTCAGTCATACACTCAGTCACACACAGTCACACACTCAGTTACACACTCAGTCACACACAGTCACACACAGTCACACACTCAGTCACACACTCAGTCACAAAGTCACACACAGTTACACACTCAGTCACACACAGTCACACACTCAGTCACACTCGAGCCAAACCCCACGCAACCGCATTGCGTAACTCACGCGCGCGCCTGTTGGGCAGTCGAGCGAAACAGTTTGCATTATCAGAGCAGGGATTAACGTATCGAAGGCGCTTTTTGCTGACGTTTTTTAAAAATAAAACCTCAACTAAATCGTTGTGATGCCCTGCTGCAGTCTCGCCTGTAGGGGGACCCACCGGTGGCAGCTGCCCCTGTGCGGCACGCGATGACGTCCAGCTACAGCCCAGACCTGAAGGTGAGCGGGGCGTTCACAGTATTCTGCTGCCAAATAAAACCACCGCGCAGGTCTGGGCAGAGGTGCGAGCTGCGTGGCGAGTTGTGGCAGCCAGGAAGTGCCAACGATTTCCGATTTACATTTTGTACACTGGAACGATGCGCGGTAAATCACTGGAATAATCGTCACGTCGTGGGGTTTTGACATGGGCACGGCCTGTCAACCAATTAGGATTGTAACAATCGTCATCGTTACCATAACAAAACTCAATACATTTGTCAATAACACTACGGCATTTAAAGGAAAGTAAAATATATAATATGCAACGTTTTGGGCTACGGCCCTTCTTCATGTAGTGCACCACTGCCGAACGCAGCATCACGAGAACAGTGTGTTCACTCAGGACGGTAGTTCAGCTGCGATGAAACAGCGCGAGAACATCCACCCCCCCCCCCCCTCTTGACGAGGGTAGACGGGCTCGTGAAATACCGCAGGACGTGTCGGACTGAACGGGCCTTCTCATTCATGCTGCGGTGCTGGCGATGGGGCGTTGAGTTTCCTGCAGCGTGACAACCCATTTACCCGTTCGATAAAGTAATGTCTTCTAAATATATAATAATCATTCAGACATGACTTGCAACCCGCAAGTCACTTGGACGTGAACATCCATCCCCTTAGCTAGCCAGCCAGCAAAACTTTCTCGTTTATTTTTTCGATTTCTCCCATTACGCGTTTGTTTTTTCTCAGATTTCTATTTGCTTGGCTGCTGCACGGTACCTTCATTTCTCTTCTGTGCACTGGGGTGACTCAGGTGACTTCTCTTGCAGAGGAGACTTTCTCCCGGCCTCCTGCCCTGCTCACCTGGTGACTCAAAATCAACTTCACCTCCCTCTAGCCCACTCCAAACGGACACACGGATGGACAAGATGTTTGCCGGACACATCCAGAACTAGTGTGCTTCACCCCCTGACCTATTCATACTTACGTATAATTCCCATTTTATATAAATATATTGCCATATATATGAAAGTGAAATTATCTTCAAGGCTGCGGGTGCATCTGTCTCGTAAAGGTATCGACCACCGCATCGATCCGTCCGTGAATATCGATGCGTCCGTGAATATCGATCCCTCAAGTTCATGACGCTTAAAGTGCTGCCCTCCGTTGCTGGCCGCTTGCCACTCTGGGCCCCGGCCGGTGACTCCCTGCACCCACCCAGGAGCCATCGAACCCCAGCGAGACAGACGGACGGACGCACGCACGGCGAGGAGCCCACGCTCTGCCCAACGCCGCGTCCCGTGCCGTACAGGTAGCCGGAGGGGAGGGGCGGTGGCAGGAGTGGGGGGGGGGCTTTGCCAGAGGCTGCTGCAGGAAGCCTGAGACGACAGCGACGTTCACAACGTCTCGCGACTTTGTGCAACACTCGTCCCTCCGCGTGAACAAATCAAAGTGGACAACTCGTGAGCCGGAGGGAGAGGGAGGGTGAGGGGGGGGGTCACGTGGCGCGGGCGCGTGGGGGCCGTGGGGGCACGGGAGGTGAGCGGAGAGACTGGGACACAACACCACAGCCTTCCAGCTGTGGAGAGAGAATGGCGATCGATTATGATGATCGATAATTTTAGGAGACCATGGTATATTGGTGATCGATGGGATGGTTATGATCGTGATGCCTGATGGAATTAAATATGGAATGATTGGTGGATAGTGATGATGATGATGAACGAAGACTAATGATAAATGATCATGATTGATGGATAATCATCATTATTATAATAATTTGATGATAAACAACGATCATTGAAGATGACGTTAATTCATTGATGGGATGATCATGATGGTGACGGAATGATTAATGGATGACGACTGATGAGTGACAATTATGGATAATCATCATCATGATGATTGATGATGATGATGATGATGACGACGATGGCGGCGATCGTCCAGCACAGGTGAGGAGAGGCCACGGATCGCCGCGTGGCCTGAGGCTCTCGTGCCGGGCCTCGTGCCGGGCCTCGTGCCGGGCCTCGTGCCGGGCCTCGTGGCGGCCGGGAGCCTCCCCCACCAAGCCCCGCGGGAGTGAGAGCTGGGCCCTCAGGGGGAGGAGGAGAAGGGAGCCGTGATGACGTGCTGGTGCTGTTCTTGGTGCATGGTTCCGATCCCCACCGCGGGGGCCGGAAGAGCTGGGCGGCTCACCAGCTTCAGCTGCTCACACACACACAGATACACACAGAGTGTCACACACACACACAGAGTGTCACACACACACACAGAGTGTCACACACACACACAGAGTGTCACACACACACACAGAGTGTCACACACACACACAGATGCACACACACAGAGTGTCACACACACAGAGTGTCACACACACAGAGTGTCACACACACAGATACACACACACACAGAGTGTCACACACACAGAGTGTCACACACACAGAGTGTCACACACACAGATACACACACACACAGAGTGTCACACACACACAGAGAGTGTCACACACACACAGAGTGTCACACACACACACAGAGTGTCACACACACACAGAGTGTCACACACACACAGGTGCACATACACACAGAGAGTGTCACACACACACACACAGGTGCACACACACACACAGGTGCACACACACACAGGTGTACACACACACACAGATGCACACACACAGAGTGTCACACACACAGATACACACACACACAGAGTGTCACACACACACACACAGAGTGTCACACACACAGATGCACACACACAGAGTGTCACACACACACACACAGAGTGTCACACACACAGATGCACACACACAGAGTGTCACACACACAGATACACACACACACAGAGTGTCACACACACAGATACACACACACACAGAGTGTCACACACACACACAGAGTGTCACACACACACACAGTGTCACACACACACAGGTGCACATACACACAGAGAGTGTCACACACACACACACAGGTGCACACACACACACAGGTGCACACACACACAGGTGTACACACACACACAGGTGCACACACACGCACACACGGGTACACACAGGTACACACACACACGGGTACACACACACGCGTACACACACACACAGGTGCACACACACACACGGGAACACACACACAGGTGCACATACACACAGAGAGTGTCGCACACATACAGAGCGATACGGTGGCTCCTGACCTGCCCGTTGGCAAGGAGGGGGGTCGCGGGATTTCAGAGATCAATGGGTCATGGGGAGGGGGGGTAGCGGGGTTACTGAAGGGGGGGGGGGGTACCGAGGTCACCTCCACAGCGAGCTGCTTGCGGAAACGCGGCGCTGACGAAGGTCCAGCAGCCCATGTTCTGTGGCTCCTCCTGGGCCCACACGAACTCTGCGGGGGGGGGAGGGAGGTGGGGTGGGGGACACGTGGGCGCCATTGGTACCACGGACATCGGCGCGCTGCCGAGGGGCCGGAGCGGAGGGGGCCGAGCGCCACCCGAGCCACACACCGCCCCCACCCCCTACCCCCCACACACAGCGAGCACGGCGCGACCTGCTCCCAACACGCTCAGGGAGAACGCTCGAAGTGATGCGAGCTCAACGCTGCCGGTAATAACGATGCACTCGCCGTAGCGCTCACGTTAACCGTATCACTCATTATAAACACGAGAAACGGCGGGCAAAATAGCCACGGAGCCAATACGCCACATGACACTGAACCGAGCCGCAACACTTATGATAACCGAGATGCTTTGGTTGGTGGCAGCAGTGGAGTGGTTAGCACGCTGCGCTATGAACCCAGCGACCCGAGTTCGATTCCCGCTCATGATCAACACCAGTGACAATTAACTGAACTGGTCCTCGTTGACTCAGCCTCAAATGAGTACCTGGTGCGATGCGCACATATCGCCACCGGGGAGACAAAAGCAGCCGGGCGCGGTGCTTGCCACCCGCCCTTCCACGTGCTGTGCTGGCCTTCATAGGTGCTCTCTAACAGCACTTGCCCCAACAGTCTGTTAAGGCTACACGGGGGCAAGGGTGGTGGGAGGCTCGGAGGGGTCGCAGGGCGGGGGTGGCAGGGCGGGGGTGGCGTGGTGGAGGTCGCCGGGGTAGGCCACCTGTGGCGTTGGGGAAGCGCTGCAGCTGCTGGCGCAGGGCGTGCGTGGGGAAGGGGCAGATCTCCTCGAGGCGCAGCAGGGCGGTGCCGCGCCCGGCAGCGCCCAGCGCCTCCCGCTGCTTGTGCAGGGCGTAGTAGTGCTTCCCGCTGCACAGCACCACCCGCGACACCCTGCAGCAGCAGCAACAGTACACAACATTGGAGATAATGATGATGATGATCATGATGATCATGACGTAACGAAATATTTAGCAAAGCGGATGATTCCGGTCATCCTCGCAGCGGGTTTTGGCTGACCATCGAACAAAGATCGTCACTGCGTCGCACACTTTTGGATGCCCTTCTGTGGCCGTCTGGAACGCGCTTCCTATTAGGAAGCCAATGGAGCTATGCACTTTAAAATCTATATTGAAAATTCATTTATTTTTGTGTTTAGTTTGTTGTCCTTCCCCCGCACCTCCGATTAGCACGATTGGCCATGTACGGCGCGAAAGAAGTTCAACATACATACATACGCGTGGTACGGTACACGGTCACGTCTGCACATCATGCTGGCCTCCGCGAGGCCTGGACTCACTCTTTGGGGTTCGCACTCGGATCCCCGATCACCGGCTCGAAGGACGTGCCGGGCCCCATCTCACTCAGGCTGGACACGGCCGCCTGCCGGGGGTGGGAGGGCAGGGGTCACGGAGACACGGGGAGGACACGGGGACGGTGAGACCTGGGGGAGAGAGTGATACAGAGCGGCGGGCACAAGGACGCGGACACACGGCGGATGGGGAGACACAGGGACACTGCTTCTACTGCTGTCCCTGCTGCCATTGTTGCTCAAAGTGCTGCTGCTGCTTCTACTGCTGTCACTGCTGCCACTGCCGCGATTACTGCAGCTGCTACTTCCGTTGCTACGACTGCTGCCCCTGCTGCCCTGCTACTGCTGTCCCTGCTACTACTGCTGCTTCATACCGGGTGGCGCAGCAGCATCTTGGGCGAGGCGACGATGAGCGGTTTGCGGAAATCGCGCAGCACCTGGCGCCGCAGGAGGTGGAAGTACTGCGCCGGGGTGGTGGGGTTCACCACGGACGCGTTCACCATGTCGCCGTCCACTCCCTCCTCGCTGCTGTCACACATCTGTTTCACGGCAACGTCAACAAGGGAAGGGGGGGGTTACTCTGGGTCAATAGGCATGTGTCGTTTGATGCCTGCCATTTTACACCTGTACCGCGATACGTGTCATGTGACCCAGGAAATGTGTGATGCGACACCTGTCCCCTGTCCCTTGACACGAGTCATGTGATCTGTGACACGTGTCATGTGACCTGCGACACGTGACCCGCGCCATTTGTGACACGCGTCACGTGACCCGCGTGCCATTTGACACGTGTCGCGCGACGCGTGTCGTGCCGCACCTGCAGGAACCTCTCGATGCGGCAGGACGAGTGCTCGGGGCCGGCGCCGTCGTAGCCGTGGGGCAGCAGCAGGACCAGGGCGCTCTGCAGCAGCCACTTGGCCTCGCCTGCACCACGAGCACACAGACAGAGACCCCCCGGGTAGCCTTTAACAGGCTGTCGTGGCAAGTTCTGCTAGCTAGGGGCACCTTTGAAGGCCGGTACGGAACTTGATGGAAGTGGTGTGACCAAAACTACGCACGGCCGCCTTTGTCTCCCCAATACTGACGTTTACACATCGCACCGGCTACTCATTTTAAAATCCAAGTCGGCCTCGGGGAGGCCCAGGACCGGTTTAGATAATGGTCACTGGTGTTGGTGGCCGTGAGCGGAATGGACCTCGGGTCGCATCGCCTGTGGGGGTGACTCCTGTGCTATCGTTTCTTCCTCTCGGGCGCTCTACCATCGTCTCCATCCTCCTCCGTCCTCTGCCCCCTTCCTTCGGCTTCCCGATCCTCGGCCTTTCTTCCAAAACGCCCTTACCTCATCAACTCATCAACCCCTGCCTTGTTTGTTGTCGCACATTTGTCATCGTTTGTTGCTGTTTATTGCTGCTGCTGTTGTTGTTGTTGTTGATCGCCGTGTGTCGTGGCCACCTTCTCTCACCGGACATGATGAAGGTGTCGATGATGATCTGGGCCCCGTTGAAGAAGTCTCCGAACTGCGCCTCCCACACGGGCAGCAGCCGGGGGCTCTCGATGCTCACGCCGTACTCGAAGCCCAGCACCGCCTCCTCCTGACAGCGGGCTGTTGCACACCTGCAGCAGCACAAAGACAAAGGTGCCCCCCCCCCCCCACGTGGTCCTTTACCAGGTCGCTGGGGCAAGCGCCGTCAGCGAGTGCCGATTGAGGCCCGCACGGCGTGGCCGGCGCCGGGCCCTGCCCTGATGTTTACAGACCACAACAGGTACTCATTTAAGGTTGAGTCGACCTAGGGGAGATCTCGGACCGGTCCAGATATCACTCTCCATCGTCAAGAGTCGCACACGCGGGCACATCGCACGCACACAGCCAGCGATGTCGCCCGCCGTCTGCTTGTGGACCGATCTGTCCGGAGACGTTCGAGCTGATGAGACCGATCATCGCGGTCTCCCGAGCTCTCACCTAGTTCAACAAAACCCCAGCCCACAACCGCGACGACAACCTGGCCTTCGCCACGTGTCGACGCCCGACTGAACGAGCGAGGAGAAGCACAGGGGGTCAAGGCCTCGAGCGTTGCTCCGCCGCCTGACGCTCACCTCCAGGAAGGCCTCCTGCTGGGGCGCCATGTGGTTGAGCGGGATGTAGGCCTCGCTGCTGCTCTGGCACACGATCATGACGTGCCGCTGGCTGAAGGTTCCCCGTCCCACGTCCTGGCCGCTCAGCCGCACGTCGAACCCTGGACACGAGCGGGTCATGGCGGTAATTAAAAACTAAACCACACAATTCGTTTATCTCAGCTTAACTCCCCCCCCGACTCCGCACGGCGCCCCCCCCCCTGCATCCCTCCTCCCTGGCTCCTCCCCCCCTCTTACCCTATATAATCGCTTGTCACAAATAGCTCTCTATTCACTACAATAATTTTGCTGTGGCTGTTCCACCTGATGACGGAAGCTTGTGTTGCCTCCGAAACGTCGTGATTTTTATTTATTTATTTTTTTTCATCTACGTGACTTTACCGAAAGAACCAAAGAGTAGGTATGGCCCACTGAGCTAAAAAGCTCTTGTTCAGAAGCGACCTGGTGAGCACAAATGATAGCTCAATTAAGTTTTTATCATCATGTGGACATTGAGAGCAGTCAAATACTCTAAACACGCGTTGCTTTTGAGGACCCGAAGAATAATGCACACGACCACGGGGAGAGAGATACGCAAACTCCAAATATACAAGCGTCTCGTGAACCCGGCTCAGCGCCGTGGCAAGCGGGCAACGTCACCACCGCGCACTCGCCCGCCTGCCCGCCCACGCGCCAGCCAGCCGGAAAAACTTCATTCTAATACAAAGAATGATGAAGAGGACGGGGAATCGATCACCCTGGGTGAGCAGGGAGCCAAACGCCAGGGCCTCAGCGGTCGCCCAGTCGAGCTTCGATCCCTCCTGCAGCTTGAGCAGGCGAGCCTGGGGAGGGGCGGGGCACATAAAGACAAAGATCCCCAGTGTAGCCTTACAAGAATGTTGGGACAAGTGCCGTTAGCGAGTAGGACCTATGACGGTCAGCCCGGCACACGAGGGCGTTGGGGGTGGCCAACACCACGCCCGACCAGCCTTTGTCTCCCCAGTGGCGATTTTTTTACACACCGCACCAGGTACTCGTTTGAGCCTGAATCGACCTAGAGGAGACCCAGGACCGGTTCAGATAATCGTCACCGGTGTTGGTGGCCATGAGCAGGAATCGAACTCGGATCGCCTGTATCGTAGCGTGGCGCGCTAACCGCTACACCAACGCTCCCCACACACAGGCACATACACCAACACATGCTCGCATGCCCACACGGACACGCGCTACCCCTGGGCCACGTCACCGCCCCACAAGACCGGCACTACCGGCGGCGGGGCCGGCGCGCGTGGCGGCCGCACCTGCGCGTGCGTCTTGAACAGGTGTCCGTGCATCGCCACGTCGGGCGCCACCTCCACCGACTTGGCGCCGACGAAGCGCAGCAGCTCGGTGGGCGCGCCCGTGTCCCAGCGGCTCACGCGGGCCTCCGGACGGCGCAGGCCGGCCCAGCGGCCCCGCGGCTCGCCGGCGCCGTCGCCGGGCCAGTAGTGGGCGGCGACCCCTCCCCGCGCCGCCGCGGAGGGCGCGGCCGCCGCCGCGGCGCCGTCCTCGGCCGCGCCGAGTCGGCGCGCCAGCTCGGCGGAACGCGAGCTCTTCACGAGCTCCACGTCGGCCTCCGTGAGGACGCCCTCGCTCACCAGCCGCTCTGCGTAGCTATCCGGGACGCTCTTGCGAGACCTGCGGGGGAGAATCGTCGTCAACGTCATCGCCGCCGTTGTCGCCGTCGACGACAGTCATGCTCTATCCACTGCTGGGTAGACGACGAGGATCCCCAAGTGGCGGTCGCATCTCTGGCATCCTCGCGATGCGAGAGATGTGAACGTGACGGTGCAACGGCTCGCCAGCTCACCGGCTCACTAAATCGTCAGCTCACCAGCTCACTAACTCACTGGCTCACTCGCTTGCCAGCTCACCGGCTCACTAACTCACCAGCTCACTAACTCACTGGCTCACTCGCTTGCCAGCTCACCGGCTCACTAACTCACCAGCTCACTAACTCACTGGCTCACTCGCTTGCCAGCTCACCGGCTCACTAACTCACCAGCTCACTAACTCACTGGCTCACTCGCTTGCCAGCTCACCAGCTCACTAACTCACCACCTCGCCAGCTCACCAACTCACCAGCTCACCAACTCACAAGCTCACTAACTCACCAGCTCACTAACTCACCACCTCGCCGGCTCACTAAGCCGCCAGCTCACCGGGTCTGTGGGCACGCGCGGTCCTCACCGGATGAGGCCGTACATGGCGGGGATTGGTGACGGTGGGGTCGTCCAGCTCGTTGTGACCCCACTGGCGGTAGCACAGCAGGTCGACGATGACGTCGCGCCGGAAGCGGTGGCGGTAGTCCATGGCGAGGCGCGCCGCGCGCACCACCTCCTCAACATCGTCGCCGTTCACGTGCACCACCGCGCAGCCCACCACCTTGCCTGGCGCCGGCAGGCGATGCGAGTCATCCACGCACGCAGTCAGTCAACCACACACGCAGTCAGTCAACCACTCGCCCAGTCAGTCAACCACTCGCCCAGTCAGTCAACCACTCGCCCAGTCAGTCAACCACTCGCCCAGTCAGTCAACCACTCGCCCAGTCAGTCAACCACTCTCGCCACTACTCATTCAATCAAGCCTCCAACCACAGAACCGCTCATCCATTCAACCGCTCATTAATTCGTCCACTCATTCATTCAACCGCTCATGCTTTTAGCCAACTATAAATTATACTGCCTATGTATCCAGCTATCAGCACATTCAACTACTCGCATGTTCAACGAGCCATTAAACCAACCGAACATTGAAATATCTAATCCACCAACCGTAAATTCAACTACCCATGAATCATACTGCCCAACAAACTACCCAACCACCCACCCACCAAACCAACCGACCGATCACCGTTCGACCCATCAGCACAAGGGGAGTGGTGACGGGGGGGGGGGGGGTGATGCGGGGTACAAAACGGAGCCAGACTCTGGAGTGCCCTTACCCATGTCGCTGCTGTAGAGTGAGGACCTCCCCCGCTCACACGGAGTGGTGAAGCCCAGCTGGTTGTTCACGATGAGGTGGATGCTACCACCGACGTCGTAGTGGGGGAGGTAGGCGAGTGTGAACGTCTCGGCCACGATGCCCTGGCCCGCAAACGCCGCGTCGCCGTGGACCTTCAGGGAGGGGGGGCACACGGACGGAGAGAGACAGATACATAGCTCGGTAGACAGACAGGTAGACAGTGAGACCAGCAGGCAGATGGACAGACAAGTAGCAAGAGGCAGATATACAGATGCACATAGACGGGCAGACAGGCAACCAAGCAGACACAGAGAGACAGAGTAGGTACTCTCTAAAACTCAACTAAACCCTTACTGCAGACAAACCACCTTGTCTTGACGAAGCAAGACAGGCCCCGTGTTACTTGCAGACCGTGCGTCTTCATGAGACATCACAGACCCTCAAGATCCGCACGAGACAGCAGAGGCCTCGCCCAACCCCCGCGAGGTACCTGCAGGCAGGCCACGCGGTCGCCCGGACGGGCCCCGGGCTCGCCGGAGTAGTGGCCCTCGCGGCGCGTTCGCTGCCGCCCGCGGGCCTTCCCCACGGCCACGGGGTTCACCGCCTCCAGGTGCGAGGGGTTGGGCAGCAGCGCCACCCGCACCGAGCGGCCCGGCGCCGCCTCCACGTCGAGCGTGGCCGTCAGGTGCGACAGCACGTCCCCCACGGCGCCGCGCGTGCCCTCGGGGAACTCGCTGAGGCCGCGCATCTTGCGGAACATGATCTGTGTCGGCGGCCAGGGAGCGGGAAGGGCGGGGGAGGGGCGCGGGGAGAGTTACGGACGGACAGGCGGGTAAACGTACGGATGGATACGTGCATAGTCGGACGCACGGATGGAATGGCAAAGAGATGGATGGACGGATGGAGACACAGACACACAACCAGGGAGGCAACCAGAAAGACAGATGAATGGAGGAGGCAAGGAGACAGACAGAGGGACTGACGCACGGACGGACAGGGAGATGGGCACACAGGTGAACATGCACGCACAGGCAGACAGGATAGCAGAGGTGGGGGTCGAGTCTTGTAGGGTCCAGGTCAGGTCATTGGATCCGTGTCATGTCGTGCGGGAACCAGGCCAGGTCTTGCCGGTTCCACATCTCATTACGTCGGGTATGGGGCGAGGTCATTTTTCTGATTTGGGGTCAGGTCGGGTCGGGGTCGGGTTGGGGTCACGCCGACCTCAGGCGGTAGCTGCAGGAGGCCGGCGAGGAGGTTGAGGCGGCCGCGGTGCGGCATGGCCACCACGAGGTCGGAGAGGCCCGAGAGGGCCGCGTGGCGGAACGTCTCGTGGAAGAACGGCAGCATGGCCTCGGCTCCCTCTCCGCCGTAGCGCTTCACCGTCGCGAACTTCGTGGCCACGAAGTTATCGAACGCCTGGGGGAGAGACACGGGGAGAGAAACGGGGGGATACACGGCGAGAGAGACGGGGAGAGACACAAAGACATGAAGAGACAGAGATGTGACACTTGTAATGACGATGAATATGATGATGAAGCTGATGACGATGGTGATGATGGCCAGCACCTGTGACTCAAGCATCAGCGTGGCGAGCAGTCTCCGCTCCTCCGCTGGGAACGTCTCTCCGCGGAGCCTCTCCACGCGCTCCGCCAGCCACTCCCGCTCCTCGGCCGAGGCCAGTTGCGCCGTCTCCACAGCGATGGCGCCGCAGTAGGAGTCCTGCAGGAACCGCAGCACCTCGTCCAGCGTGGCCTCTGCCTTGTCCATCGCCAGCAGGCCTGCCCACAGCGTACAGGACACACGGAATACAGGACACACGCGCATACAGGACGCATGGCGTAAGGGATACGTGGCATACAGGACACGTGGCATACGGGATGCGTGGCATCCGAGACACGTAGCATATGGGATGCGTGGCGTACAGCAATGGCAATGTCAAGCACGGGTCAAGGGCAGGGTAAGGGCTTGGAAAGGGCAGGGTGAGGGCAAGGCGAGGGCAGGGGAGTGAGCGGCTGTCGCACCGTCCACGCGGTAGACCCCGGGCTGGAGTCCGTAGGCGGAGGCGAGGAGTTGTGGGGGCACGCGTAGTGGGGGGCCGTGCTCCCCGCCCACCAGGGGGTCCAGTCGAGCGGCGAGGTGGCCGTGCTCACGGAACGCGCTCACCAGCCGCGCCAGCGCCTGGTCCTGGCACGGCATCCCCGCGCCCAGTGTGGGGCCTGCACCACAACCCCCCCCCCCCAAACAGACACACAGAGCGGGGAGGCGGCTGATTCATCGGCTTTACCAATCATCGTGTGACTGGATAAAATACGAACATAATTGGGATGAAATTAAGATTAATCGACACATGTTTTACTTTTGTACTTAGAGTACCGACAGGGTCGTACTCATTTTATGGAAACCAGAGGTCCTGGTCCCTCTCCTTGGTCGATTGAGCCTTAAAATGAGTACTTGGTGTGGGGAGACAAAGGCGGCCGAGCTTGGTGATGGCCACCAACCACCTCGTGTGACATGCCGGCCTTAATAGGTGCTCGCTCACAACACTTGCCCCAACAGTCTGTGTAGGTTACACGGGGGACCTTTGTCTTTATATTGAGTCCCCACATCCACAGAGGCAGCCGATACAATCAGCAAACCATCGCCACCATCGTTCACCCACCGTATTTCTGAGCGACAGAGCAGTGACACTCCAGCGTGGCTGTTAGTGCCAAACCGTGCTTGTGTCAAGTTCAAAGCCAGGGTTAGGTCAGGGTCAATCATCACTCTGTCCTGTCATGGTATGACACTTACCACTCCTAACCCTGTGCTGGTATCACACTCATAGCTTTAACCTGTGGCTGGTGTCACGGTCATCACCGGGTACCACACTCGCCACCTGAACCTGTGCTGACCTCTAACCCGTCCACCCCTAATAACCCTGTCCTGGGATCACACTCGTAGCTATCAGGTCAAGAGCTTCCGCAGTTCAGACGCAAGCCGGGAGCCTGAACCCCGCATCGTAACCAGATCCCTGCCCAACGCCATCCCTGCTGAACCCCCTCTCGCCTCTGACTTAAAATAATTCGCGACCCAAAAAACCCCAACAACGTTCCAGTAACTTTCAGGAGTTCTGCAATGATGCCCCCTCCCATCCATCATCATCCTTGGCAGCCACCGTCTATCCACTGCTGAAGGCCTCCACACGCAGTCGCCATCCCTGACTGTCCACTGCTGCTAGTGAGTGGGTGAAGAGGTGAGTGGGTGAGTGAATGGGTGAGTGAATAGGTGAGTGGGTGGGTGAGTGGGTGAGTGAGTGGGTGAGTTGAGTGGGTGAGTGAGTGGGTGAGTGGGTGAATAGGTGAGTAGGTGAGTGGGTGAGTGAGTGAATAGGTGAGTGGGTGAGTGAGTGGGTGAGTGAGTGGGTGAATAGGTGAGCGGGTGAGTGAGTGGGTGGGTGAGTGGGTGGGTGAGTGGGTGGGTGAGTGGATGAGTGGGTGGATGAGTGGGTGCGTGAGTGGGTGCGTGAGTGGGTGGGTGAGTGGGTGGGTGAGTGGATGAGTGGGTGGATGAGTGGGTGCGTGAGTGAGTGGGTGGGTGAGTGGGTGTGGTTGAACGCAGTTTGGAGGATGAGAGCGAGTCCTCGACACGAGTGGAGGAATCAACGAGTGGAGTGCACGGCAGCAGTCAACCGTGGCAGTAGCAGTAGCGATGGAAGACGAGTGATCGTTCCAAGCAAGATTCTACATCCCCCCCACCACTACCAGCACCACTACCACCCATACCTCCCGCCCCCCCTCAACCCCCCCCCCACACCTCGACCACCTCCGACCCCCTCCGACCCTGACCTTGAGCCTCCGCTGTGCCCCCGGCGGGCTGGGCACCCCCTGCACGTGGCCGGTGCCCGTAGGCCCCCCGCTGGTAGCGGTAGCCGCGCCGGCTGCCCGCCAGGGGCAGGCGGCACGCGGGAGCGGACCCTGCCCGGAGGGCAGCGGCGCACCACCGCCACGTTGATGTCCTGCAGCAGTTCGCCATCATCATCATCATCGCCGCCGCCGTCGCCGCCGCCGTCGTGATTGATCTCTGGCGGTGTCGTCGTCGTCGTCGCCGTCGTGATCTCGTCGCGTCTCAGGAGGTCCCCAACGCCGCCGTCTCTCCAGGGCTGTCAGCCTGGACCGCGAGTCGCCTTGGGGGGGGAGGCCAGGGGCGTGGCCTACTGGACGGGGGCGTGGCCTACTGGACGAGGGCGTGGCCTCGACTGAGTGGGCGGGGCCTCGACTGAGTGGGCGTGGCTATGAGTGTGGTTTAGCTGGAGTGGGCGTGGCTATGGGCGTATCCAGGGGGTGTGGCCGCCTCGGGGTCTCCCATTGGCTTCGTGGTGGGGGGCGTTTGCGCGCGCGCCATCGTGGGTCGCGAGGTGAAAACGAGCGAGGGAGGTGGAGTGGCTGGCAGGGGAATGAGTGAGGGAGGTGGAGTGGCTGGCAGGGGAATGAGTGAGGGAGGTGGAGTGGCTGGCAGGGGAATGAGTGAGGGAGGTGGAGTGGCTGGCAGGGGAATGAGTGAGGGAGGTGGAGTGGCTGGCAGGGGAATGAATGAGGGAGGTGGTGTGGCTGGCAGGGGAATGAATGAGGGAGGTGGTGTGGTTGGCAGGGGAATGAATGAGGGAGGTGGAGTGGCTGGCAGGGGAATGAATGAATGAGGGAGGTGGTGTGGCTGCCAGGGGAATGAATGAGGGAGGTGGTGTGGCTGGCAGGGGAATGAATGAGGGAGGTGGTGTGGCTGGCAGGGGAATGAATGAGGGAGGTGGAGTGGTTGGCAGGGGAATTAATGAGGGAGGTGGAGTGGCTGGCAGGGGAATGAATGAGGGAGGTGGTGTGGCTGGAAGGGGAATGAATGAGGGAGGTGGTGTGGCTGGCAGGGGAATGAATGAGGGAGGTGGTGTTGTTTGGCAGGGGAATGAATGAGGGAGGTGGTGTGGCTGGCAGGGGAATGAATGAGGGAGGTGGTGTGGTTGGCAGGGGAATGAATGAGGGAGGTGGTGTGGTTGGCAGGGGAATGAATGAGGGAGGTGGTGTGGTTGACAGGGGAATGAATGAGGGAGGTGGTGTGGTTGGGAGGGGAATGAGTGAGAGAGGGAGGTGGTGTGGCTGGCAGGGGTATGAATGAGGGAGGTGGTGTGGCTGGCAGGGGAATGAATGAGGGAGGTGGTGTGGCTGGCAGGGGAATTAATGAGGGGGGTGGAGTGGCTGGCAGGGGAATGAATGAGGGAGGTGGTGTGGCTGGCAGGGGAATGAATGAGGGGGGTGGAGTGGCTGGCAGGGGAATGAATGAGGGAGGTGGTGTGGCTAGCAGGGGAATGAATGAGGGAGGTGGTGTGGCTGGGAGGGGAATGAGTGAGAGAGGGAGGTGGTGTGGCTGGCAGGGGAATGAATGAGGGAGGTGGTGTGGCGGGGAGGGGAATGAGTGAGAGAGGGAGGTGGTGTGGCTGGCAGGGGAATGAATGAGGGAGGTGGTGTGGCTGGCAGGGGAATGAATGAGGGAGGTGGAGTGGTTGGCAGGGGAATTAATGAGGGAGGTGGAGTGGCTGTGGCAGGGGAATGAATGAATGAGGGAGGTGGTGTGGCTGGCAGGGGAATGAATGAGGGAGGTGGTGTGGTTGGCAGGGGAATGAATGAGGGAGGTGGAGTGGCTGGCAGGGGAATGAATGAATGAGGGAGGTGGTGTGGCTGCCAGGGGAATGAATGAGGTGGTGTGGCTGGCAGGGGAATGAATGAGGGAGGTGGTGTGGCTGGCAGGGGAATGAATGAGGGAGGTGGAGTGGTTGGCAGGGGAATTAATGAGGGAGGTGGAGTGGCTGGCAGGGGAATGAATGAGGGAGGTGGTGTGGCTGAAAGGGGAATGAATGAGGGAGGTGGTGTGGCTGGCAGGGGAATGAATGAGGGAGGTGGTGTGGTTTGGCAGGGGAATGAATGAGGGAGGTGGTGTGGCTGGCAGGGGAATGAATGAGGGAGGTGGTGTGGTTGCCAGGGGAATGAATGAGGGAGGTGGTGTGGTTGCCAGGGGAATGAATGAGGGAGGTGGTGTGGCTGGCAGGGGAATGAATGAGGGAGGTGGTGTGGTTGGGAGGGGAATGAGTGAGAGAGGGAGGTGGTGTGGCTGGCAGGGGAATGAATGAGGGAGGTGGTGTGGCTGGCAGGGGAATGAATGAGGGAGGTGGTGTGGCTGGCAGGGGAATGAATGAGGGGGGTGGAGTGGCTGGCAGGGGAATGAATGAGGGAGGTGGTGTGGCTGGCAGGGGAATGAATGAGGGGGGTGGAGTGGCTGGCAGGGGAATGAATGAGGGAGGTGGTGTGGCTAGCAGGGGAATGAATGAGGGAGGTGGTGTGGCTGGGAGGGGAATGAGTGAGAGAGGGAGGTGGTGTGGCTGGCAGGGGAATGAATGAGGGAGGTGGTGTGGCGGGGAGGGGAATGAGTGAGAGAGGGAGGTGGTGTGGCTGGCAGGGGAATGAATGAGGGAGGTGGTGTGGCTAGCAGGGGAATGAATGAGGGAGGTGGTGTGGCTGGAGGGGGAATGAGAGAGAGAGGGAGGTGGTGTGGCTGGCAGGGGAATGAATGAGGGAGGTGGAGTGGCTGGCAGGGGAATGAATGAGGGAGGTGGTGTGGCTAGCAGGGGAATGAATGAGGGAGGTGGTGTGGCTGGGAGGGGAATGAGTGAGAGAGGGAGGTGGTGTGGCTGGCAGGGGAATGAATGAGGGAGGTGGAGTGGCTGGCAGGGGAATGAATGAGGGAGGTGGTGTGGCTAGCAGGGGAATGAATGAGGGAGGTGGTGTGGCTGGCAGGGGAATGAATGAGGGAGGTGGAGTGGCTGGCAGGGGAATGAATGAGGGAGGTGGTGTGACTGGCAGGGGAATGAGTGAGGGAGGTGGTGTGGCTGGCAGGGGAATGAGTGAGGGAGGGAGGTGGTGTGGCTGACAAGGGAATGAATGAGGGAGGTGGAGTGGCTGGCAGGGGAATGAATGAGGGAGGTGGTGTGGCTAGCAGGGGAATGAATGAGGGAGGTGGTGTGGCTGGGAGGGGAATGAGTGAGAGAGGGAGGTGGTGTGGCTAGCAGGGGAATGAATGAGGGAGGTGGTGTGGCTGGGAGGGGAATGAGGGAGGGAGTGAGGTGGCTGGGAGGGGAATGAGGGAGGGAGTGAGGTGGGGTGGTTGCAGGGGAATGAGTGAGCGAGTGAACGAACGAACGAGGCACTTAACGAACGGGTGAATGAATTGTTGAGTCAACGGATGGGTGAGTGAATACGGCGATCACTGCATTTGCGAATTCACAATTTAGTGAATTAATGTATGGACGAATAAGGCAGTGGATGAATGAGCGACTGAATGATTAAGTGAATGAGCGTGTGAATAGATAGGTGGTAGAGGAGGAGAGAGATCTGTAATGGGCATTCTCTGTCGGGTACACTACATATATGTTCAACGCGTGCGGGGGCAGCGTGTGTCGGTGTGAATTTGAGCAACAGGGTGTCAGGCCAATGTGGGAGCACTCGGGAGCCTTCTGCGTGGAGTTTATGTGTCCACTGCTCTGCATGGCGGCATGCGGCTCAGGAAGAAGTGCTCCGTGACGCTCTTTGTTCAGGGCTAGCGCCTCGTGTTCACCACGCGGTGCACGGCGGCTCTCGAAATATTGTAGGTTTTTTTTGTAAAATCAAATTTTAAATGTCTCTTATTTTTATTGCCGATTCCTATGTGTGGGTTCCAACGGGGTTGTCACGGTTCCCTCCAACATCTACAAAAACACCCGGACAATTGTTTTACACTGGGATTGGCAAACAAACAAACCATCCCAATTCTGCTGAAATAGTACCTGTAAATGACTCAATTGGGATCGCACAGCAGCAGGAGCAGCGGGGGCATCGCCCCCCTGCTATTGTGAATACTTGTCAGCACTCTCTTGCAAAAGAGTCGTGAGCCTCTGGTGAGGCTTTGCTGGGGGGAAATGTAGATCGAATAAAATACAACTTCAGAGGTTGTTCCAGGGTGCCATTCCCCGCCACAAGGTAGCGGCATTGTTCCCTGCAGTCGTTCCGAGAAGAGAGATTTCTTGAAAAAAAGAATAGGATTGACCCTTTCCTGCAATAACACACGAGGTGGTCCAATGTCCAAACACCAAACAGACATTGCAAGGCATCATCAAGTCTGCATTAACCACACGTTTGCAGTAAAACATGCACACACACACGTGCTTTGATAGAGTACGCATTGGCTTTGAAACTGTGGTCCCATTTAAATCTCTTGATCTGATGCCATACCACGATATGCAATCATCAAAGTCTGTGTCTACTATAATGCAGGTTTTTTTTGGGTTAGATCGCGTAAATATATAAATGTGTTGTTAAACCCGCCACCACCCGACACAGCCAATTAGTAAGGTTTGTCACGTAAACAGAACGTGCCAATTCGTTACTAGTACAGCACATCGGTGTGTTGGAGAGCAAATCCACAAAAAATTACAATCTGAGTTCGACGTTTCGCCAGTAATAACCAGCATCGTCAAGCGGCAGTCAGATTTGTGGTGGCGGTTTTAACGACGCATCTATTTTTACACGACCTACCCCCACAAAACTGTATTATGGATGAAATTGGTCGCGAAAGCTTCCGTCACCTTGCTCTCCTGCCGTCTCCTGGCGAGCCAGGGTCACAAGATCTGCGTGCAATCCACCAACACTCGCTGCTTCCACTGCAGTGCTGGGTCACAGGCAGCCATGTGCATAGCCACCACCATCGCTCGGCTGCCTGTCTGCACATTAACTTGCTACAGGTTGCATGGGCCTGTCTTGTTTCACGAAGACAAGGCGGTTTGTTACAATACTGTCTCTCTCTCTATGTGCGTTCTTGTTTGCTTCTCTGTACATTCATCTGCACTTCTATCTGCAAGTCTGCCTCTCTGTCTTCTCACTGAGCGTGTATACACCAACACGCCAACACCGAGTACCGACCGAGACACTTGCACCCAGGTAACCCGTGACTGCATGCGTGCCTTTTTAAAATCATAGTATCGTTGAAAATAAGTGCCCTTATTGGCATCCACGAGTACTGACGCTGATTAACCGGTTCGGTGTCAGTGGCCCACTTCACACACGCCGAGCGCCCGGGCGTGGTTGCAGTGCCTCCAGCCTCTTCGTGAGTCGTGTCAACCATTTGTAGCTTGCTCGCTCACTGTATCTTCTCCCACAGCTTGCATGGGCCACACGGGGCACATTTTTCTTTGCGTTGTATGCACGCGTGTGCCTGCAGGGACGTGTCAAACTGTCTTTTATTTACTGAAGTGTCTCTCGTAAAAAGGAAACTCAGACGGGATGACGCGCTTTCGATACTTGTCACGTTTTCCCAAAATATAGTTTTGGAGATACAAAGGTGGTGGTGGATACGCTGCCGCACGTGGCTGGTTGGAATCCAGCGCTGTGGAGGCAGCAGCGAGGGGTGGTGGATCACCGCACAGATGGGGGATGAAACTCCCTTCCAGTGGGCGGAGATGAGAAGCCGTACCCTGGCTCACAGGGAGGAGGCGGTACAGCAAGTGGACGAATCTCCATCTGTTTCCGTTTGTATAGGGATCGAGTATTGCTCCCTCACGCGTGGCGTGTGTTTTTTCTGGGTGCTCCGATTTCCTCCCACACTTAGACACTCATTAATTGATTCTAGATTTGAAGCTTTCGTTACTGCAAGGATTCATACTCTTAGGTTGTTCGGTAAAGTCACGTAGGTAAAAAATAAAAAAATAATAGAAATAATATAAATAAAATAATAAATCACGACGTTTCGTGATTTATTTGAGACAGTAAATCTAGTTGTGACGGTTCCACCTGATGACGGAGACGTGTTACCTCCGAAACGTGATTTATTATTTTATTTCTATTATTATTTCTATTATTTTTTACCTACGTGACTACCGAAAAACCTAAGAGTATAAGTACTCATTAATTGGCCAATAATATCCCTATATATAGAGGACCGCAGATCTTGGGGAACTGTTGAGAGCGCTGGCTCGTCACTGCGTGACTGCTACTGCTGCTGCCTTCCCGCTTCTGGTCTGTGGTTCCTCCTCCTCCTCGCGCCTCTGAGCCCTCCCCTGTCGCTAGGAGAGCGAACAAACGCCGTGCAGCGGCACAGCGTTGCAAGTTGTATTTGCAAATGCTGTTATGTATGTTTAAGTAACTTCATTAACATACACGCAGACATTTCGTCCTTACAGCCATTACATTCATAAAAGAGGTTTTTTGGGGTTAGATCACGTACATATATAAATGTGTCGTTATACCCGCCATGACCCGACACAGCCAGTTAGTAAGGTTTGTCACGTAAACAAAACGTGCCAATTCGTCACTAGTACAGCACACCGGTGTGTTGGAGAGCAAATCCACAACATTTTACAATCTGAGTACGACGTTTCGCCAGTATTTACAACCGGCGTCATCAGGCGACAGCCAGATTTACATCAATTACATCCTGATCATTACTGCGGATGCGATGACCAGACAATACTGCACGCCATCCGTTTCACGGCGCACGTTAAAGATCCCGTGACGTAGTTTGCAAGAGGGGGCCATTGTGTGTCGGCGTCAAAACCCACATTTGTGGCAAATTCGCAAAGGACACCACGAATTAATCAATTTGAATCACGCACACAAACAAGAGCACTCGTCGTCCCGCCGACTGGCAGGCTCATGCCCAGGAACAGCTGTCACTGGGGGCGAGATCACAGCAGCACTCATCCGCCACTGCTTGCAGACAAGCCTGTATGGAGCCAACCGCGCTAATCGAGGCGTGGGGGGAGGACAAAAAAAATGACCACAAAAAACTGTTTTAAAGAATTGAGTTTCAATATCGATTTCAAAGTGCATCGCTCCAGTAGCTTCCTAGTGTACCTCAAGTCACCCTTGAAAATGTGACTCACCCGGGTATCACGAGTTCGCACCCGGGCATACAAGATACCGTGCACTCAAAAAAGCTGAACTCACTGTGGCCTGGCAGTCAGCGAATGAGACTGGAAAATACGAATGAGACTGGCAAACAGGCGGACCGTTGTAATGTGCGAGGAGTCCCAGAGTGTTCACACACGGCGCGCAACAGGCTGAAAGTTCACTCACCTGCCCTCTCACCTGCCCTCTCACCTGCCCTCTCACCTGCCCTCTCACCTGCCCTCTCACCTGTCCTCTCACCTGCCCTCTCACCTGCACGCGTCTTTAACAGTTGCCGAGTACCCGGCTCAAAGGCCCACTGGACGTCAAGCGGCCCGCAGCAAACAGCACGGTTAAAATCGTCACGTGCGTCAGAGTTAATACGTCTCTTCAAATGAGCGAGGCGATGATGATGATGAATGCTTGGGTGAAAAATAGACGCTGGTGATTGGAAGGGTAATTCCAAAGTGCGAGGGAAGAAGCGGCACGGGTGGGTGGGGGGGAATTCTCTATAACTCCATTGGTGTACGGTGCTTTTTTTCTGGAAGACTTTGCAGTTTTTTCCTGGATTTTTCTGTTTGCGCATAGTCACTTTAAGATGTTTTCTTGTTCATATTTTTTGTTTGTTGCAGTTGCACCCGATTCAAGAGCCGAATGGCTCACAGGGCTATACCTAATGAATGAAACTGAAAAAACTGAAACCTGTCCACTTTGTAACCGTGGGTGCCGGACGTGAAGAGGTGACCCTCCTTGGACTTGCATCGCTTGCACAGGAAAGTGTAAGAAGCTGCGTGCCTCGTTGCAGACAAGTTGTCGGCGGGGCTCGCGTGATCCCGACAGCAGCCACCGGAGGACGCTACACACACGCACACGCGAATCGCGACAATTCAGGGGATGTCCCGGCGTCGGTCTTGGCGTCGGATGGCAGGGGAGTGGGAGGGTTGTCGTAAATCAGTAGTTCTTGGATATACTCGGGCCGACCATGGGATCGTGGAATTTCCAATGCTGGCTGAGGAGCGATGAAAGGTGGGCAGGCGTTGTCGACTACAACAGCGTTCTGGGGGGCATCACGAGAGAGACGGAGAGAGACAGAGGAAGCGGGCAGTGCCACCTTGCGTGCTGGAAACTAAACGCGGCGTGGATTTGCAGTCACCTCTTGGACACCTCAACAGGCGCTGACACGAAATTAATCCCGCGACAGAATGAAACAATAATTATGTTAATGTACCAGGCCCATATATGGATCGATGTACATTCAGAAAATTTATTATTGCCGCGGCATTAAAATAATAAATTATGTTAATTGTACAGGCCCTTATATGGAGCTGTGTATATTAACATAATGTCTCGTTCATTCTGTCGTGGATGTATTCAGTCTCCTGTTGACAGCGCCTGCAATCCGCGCAGCAGAGGGCAATGCAGCGAAATCCATTGCTGTACTGTACTAAGGGGCCGTCCATAAATGACGTCACGAGATTTTGGACGATTTTTACCCCCCCCCCCCCTTCGTCACGCGGCGTCACAAAAAGTCAGAACCCCCCTCAAATATGACGTCACAAAGCTCTGCCCCCCCCCCAAATAAAACATGCTTCAAATCGCTTTAAACTATTGTTATTGTAGTGCGTATTTAATGTGGCGCTGCACTCTGTTGTAGGAGAAAACATTTATTAAAACGTCTATTTAATTAAGTAGAACGTGTTGTCTATATTTATTTAAAGTTGCGCATTTTGATGTGACGTCACATTTCTCCGCCCCCCAGGTGCGTGACGTAATTTATGGACGGCCCCTCTCACCTGCTTATTAAAGTGGATTTACATGTCTACGTCGTGACGTCATGGCGGCGGCGGGAGGCGTGGTCGCGTTCAGGTGAGGAGAGATTGATCGATTCATCGATTATATTAGATCAATTCTTCACTCGCTCCACACCTCCGTTCGCGTACGCAAGGATCGATGGGGTTGTTTAAATTGCTGATCGATTCGTACACCGTTTTACACAACAGGTTCACGCGTTTCCCCGCAGCCGCTAGAGGCCGCAACATTTGCGGTGGGTTCAACAGAGTCGCATACTTTGGAGGCAGCGCATTTATTTATTTAACAGAATAACAACCTCGGGTGGTGACCACCCGGCTAACTTCACTCGTTACCACGTCACTGTTACTAGGGACCCGGGACCAACAGCATCTGCCCGGGTCCACGTGCTGGAAGACTCGTAGATCGGAGATCGCAGACGAAGGGTTTCTTTCCCGGGATGAACAACCCCGGTCCTTCTCGGGACCCGGCTGATATTCTCTGCGGCGTGGCCGTCGTCCCCCTTCCAGAACCATCGGTAAGGATCTGGGTCCCAATCACGTGACCACCCCTAGCCCCCTCTTGGGCCCCCCCCCCTGTCACCTTCACCGGCCACGTGCCCTCCTCCCGGGTCAGTCGGAGTGCCACGACCTCACACGACCTTCCCCTGAGGTCGGCACCCACGCACCGTGTCCTGTAGGGCCGGCACTGCACTTGCAGCCTGGTGACATCCAGCGATGTCACATTTACCACAATAACATCAGTAGAATCGAGTATTAAATAGACGACACGTTCTCACGTGGAATCGACGTGAGAGCGATAACACACAATGCCCTGCAGAGCAATTCCTCGCCAGAACACGCCCACACACGCCCACACGCACACACGCAAAGAAATCCGCGGCAGTTGCCATTCTTCACAATCGTTGCTCCCCCCTTCCCAACCCATGCCCTCGTATAAACAACAACAACCACCAAGGCGCCCAGCACACTGGGCAATGACAACAACACAGAGAGCCGGCTCTTTCTTGTGCACCAACGGCCCCCAGGCAGAATCACCGACGTGTACTCCACCTGCGCCCCACCGAGGAACTTCCTCGCATTGTCCCTCTTCACCCCCCCCTCCTCCTCCTCGCGCAGACTCTGCACAGAGGAAGGAGGTGGCCCATTGAACACGAACGAGGGGCAGTCGGCAGCGCCCTGAGCTCGGCATCGCGCTCAGCAGGCGCAGCGAGAGAGCGGTGGTGGGTGCTGCTCCCCCTCCCACACGCGGCACGTGTCGCCATCCAGGGCAGCAGCAGTGCGCTCCGCAGCTCCGCGATGGAGGGGGTGCTCTAGGGAGTTGGTGTTGGCGGCCTCGAAAGAGTCAAGAGGAAGGAGGCTCGAGGGAAGAGGTCGGCGGAGTGAGGAGGAGGCGGGAGTTGTTGCTCGTAGAGTTGGTGGACTTTCTGCTGGTCGATCAAGAGGTGGTGGAAGAGGAGGAGGAGGTTTGTGTTGGTGGCGGTAGGAGACTGCACCTGGAGCAATGGCATCCGGCTCGGAGCGCCGTCTCCGCACAGGTGAGGAGGAGGAGGCGAACCCGAGCGCAGCAGCTGCACGGAGGTCGTGATTTTCACCATTGCCATCATCGTGTCTTGTCCGGATTATAAGACGCACTAACCCACCCCACTATGTTACAGCGACTGTTGGGGGGGGGGGGGGGTTACAATCCGGTGGATGCGCGCGCGTGTGTGTGAGCAGTTTCTTGCAACTTGACAGCGGGAAACTTGTGGGTTAACATGCCTTCCCGCCCCTCCGATTAACACGGTTGGCTACGTACGTACGGTGCGAAAGAAGTTCAGCATAAATATTTATAACCCGGCGTTTATATATACACACACACCGTGTCTCCGATGCAGTAAACCCATCTCATGTGCCAAGGGCCGTTGCCCGAAACGTCGCCGATGGTATTTTTTCACTTTTAAAGCGAAAGTGTTATTGACGAATGTGTTGAGTAGAAGAGAAGCGATTGGCCATCATAATCCTCGTCAACCATCTATCCACTGCTGGATGAATGCATCCCCAACCCACCCAAGCAGTCGCCCTTTCTCCACGTTCCTGCGACGCAAAGATCCACCTGGCACCTGCCTGCACTCGACTTTCATTTCATCGCTCCATCTCCGCGTGGAGGACATTGCTCGCAAACGGCACGTGCCGATCCCTCTCGGGTTGAGACCTCTGCATGCGTGTGTGTGTGTCTATGTGTGTCGATGTGTGTGTGTGTCTATGTGTGTGTGTCTATGTGTGTCGATGTGTGTGCGGCAAAACAACCTCCTACCTCCTCGCGGTGCCGGACGGGCAACACTGTCGTGGGCAGTGCTGTGGGGGGAGGGCCAATGCCCATTGGCCTCTCCCCTCATGGCGTCTGTGACCACCACAGTGGCTAAATGGGGGCTCTGGACGGGTGTGAGGGGCTGGTAACCCCTCCACCTTCAATTAACCACCACTAAACCACGAATTAAACATAAACCTGTAACAAATAAGCTTGTGCCGGAGGCCCCGGGGGGTCAGGCTTTTATGACGTCTCCTGGCCAAACCCCATTTGGCGGAGCCAGGAGATTGAATTTTCACCCTCGGGGCTCCTCCACAAACAACAAAAAACCATTGCGGATGGCCACGTGGAATGTTCGAACGCTCACTGCGGAGGAGAGGCTGCCACTCCTCTGTCGGGAGCTGGACCGGTACCGCCTGGATCTCTGTGGCATTCAGGAGGTCCGGTGGACCGGTTCTGGCTCCTGCCACCATGAGGGGTGGACAGTCCTCTACTCGGGGCAGGAGACTGCCAAACAACAGGGTGTGGCTCTTCTTCTGAACAAAAGAATGAAGGGGGCGTGGGAGCGTGGCGGTGAGGTGTGGGAAGCTGTAAGCCCCAGGATACTTTGGGCTCGCCTTCCCATCAACCAGAGGCGAGGAGTGGTGGTCGTGGTTACTTATGCCCCCACCGAAGACGAACATCCGTGGAGGGATGCAGGCAAAGCCGATGAGTCAGACTCTTTCTATGACCTCCTGTCACAGGTGCTGGCTAAAGTGGCCACTCGGGACAGAGTCATCTTGTTGGGTGACTTCAATGCCCGAGTTGGTCATGATGCTGATACCTGGTCTGGAGTGATTGGAAGGCATGGGCCAGATCAGCTCAATAATAACGGTAGGAGGCTGCTAGATTTTTGTGCAGCCCATGGGCTTGTAATTACCAACACGCTCTTCCGGCATCGGCGCATCCACACAACATCATGGATACATGCCGGGTCCAAGCAAGAACATCTGCTGGACTACATAGTGACGGACCAGCGGATGCGAACCCATGTCCTTGACACCAGGACCTACCGTGGAGCTGATCTCTCCTCTGACCATCGACTAGTCATCTGTAAGATGCGCCTGCCTTTCTTCCACTCCGGTGGTGGGTGTACACCCAGGATCCCATTCCAACCAAAAGTGGCCTGGTCTCAGTTAGCTGATGAAAGTTGCAAGCGAGAATTTCATCATCGCTTGCAGCTGGGGTTGGCATCGTCCCCCACTCCACCTGATGTCGAGGGGAAATGGGCGAGGTTTAAGACTGTGACTCATGCAGCTGCAATGGCTGCTTTGGGTACGCGGTCCAGACCTCCCCAGAAACCCTGGCTGACAGAGGAGGTGTTCAGGTTAATTGAGAAAAAGCGTCAGGCCCACTCTCATCGCCTACAGCATCCCACGTCAGAGAATGAGGAGGTTTACCGCAGCCTTCGCTCAGAAGTTCGGAGAGCCGTAAGGCGCTGTAAGGATGGGTGGTGGTCGCGAGTTGCTGAGGAGATGGAGTCTGCCTCAGTGGCCCGTGATCACAAATCACTATTTAACTCCATCAAAAAAGTAACCTGCAGCGCCACACCTATTACCATCATTAGAGGAAAAAACGGTGATCCAATCTCCGACCCACAGGAACAGGTTTGCAGATTTGCTGAGCATTTCTGTGAGGTCCTGGGGGAGGGAAATTCTCTCAGCCAGGAAAACATCATGGCACAAAGTGGTGATAACCCTGCTGAGGCTGCGGTGCCTCAAATATTGGAAGAGGTCACCCCCTGTGAGTGGCTGGCTGAGGTGCCAGCTGTTGAGGAAGTACTGAGGGCGATCCGGAGTCTGAGACCAGGGAAGGCATCGGGCAGAGATGATCTCCCAAGCGAAATGCTGAGGGAGGGTGGCGTTTGTGCACAGACTGCCCTATATGACATCATAACAACAGTCTGGACCACTGGACGGGTTCCGCAGGACTGGAAGGATGCCCTGGTGGTTCCCCTCTTTAAGAAGGGGGACCGTACCGACTGTAACAACTACAGGGGCATCTCACTCCTCAGTGTGCCGGGTAAGGTCCTGGCAAGGATTATTCAACATCGCCTTGCTAGGCACGCTGAGGAGAGGCTTGCGGAGCCCCAATGCGGTTTCAGGAAAGGGCGGTCCTGCACAGATGCCATATTTTCTGTCCGTCTGCTACAGCAGAGGTGTAGGGAATTCCAAAAAGACCTACATCTCTGCTTTATTGACCTGGTCAAGGCCTATGATACCATCAGTAGGCCTGGGCTCTGGGTTGTTCTTCGTGCTTTCGGAGTCCCTGACCCTCTGCTCACGATCATTAAGGACCTTCATGATGGTGAGCGGGCCCGGGTAAAACTACGTGGCCGGGAGTCGGAGCCTTTCCCTGTACACCTTGGGGTGCGACAGGGATGTCCTCTGGCTCCCACATTATTTAACATCTATTTTGACCGCGTAGTTCGTGAAGCCTTCAATAGCTGTACCGGGGGAATTTCCATTTGGTACAGATATAATGGGAGGCTGATCGACGCCCGGGTGCGATCAAGGGATGGCTCCCTATTGGTCAACCACGTTATGTATGCCGATGATTTGGTAATAGCTGCTCACTCAGAGGAGGAGTTGGAGACGCTGCTGCTGAGACTGGAGCGTGCCACTAAGAGGTGGGGCCTTACCATCAGCCCCACCAAAACTAAGCACCTGCCTGGGTATTTTGTACCATCGGACACTCCACCCCCACAACTCCCAATTGGTGATGGGGCAGTTGTGGAGAGAGTGGAGAGTTTCCCATACCTGGGCAGTGTGCTTATGACCGGCTCCAGTCTATCAGCAGAGGTCTCACTCCGAATCAGTCGAGCGGCAATATCTTTTCATCGGTTGCGTAACGCTGTGTGGAAGCTACCTGGTCTGTCGCTCCGCACGAAGCTTCAGGTCTTCTCGGCCACGGTCATTCCCTCCCTTCTCTACGCTTGCGAGACGTGGACCCCCCTGGTGGAGCATCTTCGCCGGTTGGAAACATTTAGGCTGGCCTGCCTACGATCCATCCTGGGTTTAACCAGGCTGGATTGTGTGAGGAGCTCACAAATCCTTGAAAGATCTGGGCAAAGTCCCATCAGTGAGCTCCTCCGGCAGGCAAGGCTGCGTTGGCTGGGTCATGTAGCCCGCATGCCCAGCCACCGCATGCCTAAACAGCTTTTGTTCGGCCGGATCGAGGGGGCTAGACGGGCGCGGCACGGGCTGGAGAAGAGATGGAGTGATGTGGTACAGGAGGACGTGGAGCTGAGTGGACTTGCCGATGACTGGTACCAGCGGTGTCAAGATCGGCCTCAGTGGAGGAGGCTCGTGAAGGACGCTACTGGGCAGTTGGAGGCAGTCGCCCTCCAACAACAACGGAGGGCGGAGGAGCGACGCTCACAACAACGAGCGGAGCGCCGGGTGGCTAAAGCACAGCAAGTTGGCACAGTAGGGGGCACAGGTGGTGCATCAGCCAGTCATCTCGGTCATCTCGGTCAGTCGACCCGTGGCACCTGCTGGGTCTGCCCCGTGACCTCCTGCCAGCGGGCTTTCGACACTTCACGTGGCCTCAAGGTGCACTTGGCCTGGCACAAGCATCGTGGTGACGTCACCGCCACTTAGTGGCGAATGGCGGTTGTTGTTGTTGTTGTTGTGTGTCTATGTTGTGGGGAGCGGTAGTGTAGCGGTTAGCGCGCTGCGCTATGAACCTGGCGACCCGGGTTCGATTCCCGCTCACGGCTAACACCAGTGACGATTATCTGAACCGGTCCTGGGCCTCCCCTAGGTCGACTCAGCCTGAAATGAGTACCTGGTGCGGTGTGTAAACATCGTCACTAGGGAGACAAAGGCGGTCGGGCGTGGTGCTGGCCACCCACCCCCTCGTGTACCGTTCCGGCCTTCATAGGTGCTCGCTAACAGCACTTGCCCCTACAGTCTGTTCAGGCTATACGGGGGATCTTTGTGTGTCTATGTGTGTGTGTCTATGTATGTGTGTCAGTTTGTGTGTGTGTCTGTGTGTGTCTGTGTGTGTGTCTATGTGTGTGTGTGTCTATGTGTGTCAGTGTGTGTCTGTGTGTGTGTGTCTATGTGTGTCGATGTGTGTGTGTCAGTGTGTGTGTCTATGTGTGTGTGTGTCTATGTACGTGTGTCAGTTTGTGTGTGTCTATGTGGCGCTGAGCGCGCAGCACTACGAACCCGGCAACCCGGGTTCGATTCCCACTCACAGCCA